TCCTTTTGTAAAACCAGCTTGAACATCTGGAAGTTCATGGTTCACGTATTGCTGAAGCCTGGCTTGGAGAATTTTGAGCATTACTTTACTCACATGTGAGGTGAGTGCAATTGTGCAGTAGTTTTAGCATTCTTTGGGATAATCTTTCCTTGGGATTGGAATGAAATCCAATCCAAACCTTTTCCAGTCCTGTGGCCACTGCTGAGTTTTCCAATTTTGCTGGCATATTGAGTGCAGCACTTTCATAACGTCATCTTTCAGGATTTGAAATAGCTCAACTGGAGTTCCGTCACCTCCACTAGCTTTGTTCATAGTGATGCTTCCTAAGGCCCACTTGACTTCACATTCCAGGATGTCTGGCTCTAGGTGAGTGATCACACCATCATGATTATACGGGTCTTAAAGATCTTTTTTGTACAGTTCTGTGTATTCTTGCCACCTCTTCTTAATATATTCTGCTTTTGTTAGGCTCATACCATTTATATCCTTTATCAAACCCATCTTTGCATCAAATATTCCCTTGGTATCTCTAATTTTCTTGAAGAGATCTCTAGTCTTTCCCATTCTGTTATTTTCCTCTATTTCTTTCCATAGGCTCTGCTTAAGTTTGACCTAGTAGCTCAGTGCTTGTTTGTTGGTTGATTAGTTACACTTTAGCCCTTCAAGTTCAGCTAAGGAAGAAAATTCTGTACACAGTACAAAGTATAAGTTATTTAGTAAACTAGTACAGCCTGAGGGGGATAAGGGGCCCTAATCAAATCACCGAATTCAGAATGTATCTGGCAATGTGTTCTTTTTCATGTATTAGCTGGCTGAAGGATTTTACTAGTGGCATACACAGCTGTGTATCAGCCCTCTTAGGTCTAAAGATCTATTGTTTTAGGAGTTTTGTGTTAAGGCAGAATAATGTATCCAGTCTGGGAATAATTCAGGAGAGACACTTTTTCACAAATGCTGTTCAGATTTTCAAGATATGTGAGATATTTTTAAAATCACAGTCAATTATAAAATATTTTTTTTTGTCATCAAGCTATCTTGGTGAAAAAGAATTGTAGAGAAAGAAAGGGAGATAAAATTATTCTGAGTCCCATATTTTGTTTTCTTCATTTGTCTTCAATTTCTTCATTTAGCATGAAGACATGATGTAGTCAAGTTCTAATTTCTTTCAGACACAATACAGAGCATGGCATGAGAAAAATCATTGTTTAAATGATAAAAAAATTTACTTAGGCTGAGCTATTTTGTAAAATAGAGGCTTCTAAAAGAATTCTGTTTCTATTAAGCACATCCTGATTCCTTTTTTTACCATGCCAAAAAATAGTTGAAAGGTGATAGCTTCTTCTGTTGACAGGTGTCTTGCTGTTTCATATTTAATATTGTCTTTATTTGGGGGAGGTGTTTTTTTTTTTTTTTTAATCTATCACTCAGGAGGAGGCAAGGATGGTTTAGAGAATGATTTCAAGTGAGTCTCTGAGCTTCCTGATATATATACATTTTAAGAGAAAATACTTGAGTCACACTAATGGCAAAAGATAACATTCACTTATTGCACTTCTGACATGCTAGTGGTAGTTTTATTATCCTAATGAAATATGTTGGTGTTTATTATACACATTGCACAGATGGGGAAACTAACTTTTAAAGAAGTGTTAAATAATTTTTCAAATGTTACATACCTTTTAAGTTGAAGATCTGGAATTTGACCACTGCTGAGTTTAAATCCAAAGTAATTACTCTCCATCACTGAATCTTCAGTTTCATGATATGATATATTTTCACTGCCACAATATTTGAGAAGTTATGTTGTCTCTCAATATATGAGAGACGGACTGAGCAAGAGAACAATAATGAGGGAGAAGTTAGTCTTTTCAAGTATATATCTCCTGATGGAAACCCTAGAAGTGATATTAACAAGTTGTTCAATAATTCAATTTTTCCCCCAATAATTCCATTTTTAATTGCTGCCATTATAAGTCTCAGTTGGGAAGATCTCATGGAGAAGGAGATGGCAACCCACTCCAGTTTTCTTGCCCGGAGAATCCCATGGACAGAGGAGCCTGATAGGCTACAGTCCACGGGATCGCAAGAGTAGGACACGACTTAGTGACTAAACCACCAAACCACCACCACCACCACCATTGTTAAAAGCTATGCTGTTTCCCTATCTTAAAAAAAAAAAAAAAGCTGTTCTTCCTTTAAAGTATTGGCCAATCAGCTTTGCTAATTACTCCTTCAAAGCTCTAGCAAAGATTTATTTAATTAAAATTGAGGCCCAGGTGTTTCAAAGTCAAGACTTTTCATAAGGGATCAATAAGTATCACATATAATCTTTAGATGCTAGTTAACAATGTTTTCATTTTTAAAAATCAAGGTGATGAGTTTCCACTAACGGCATTTGTGATGAATTTTGGCTAATATTTGAATCTCAAATTTTAGTTGTGGAAAGTTTCTCACTAGTACTGAAGCTATGCATTTTATTTTTTTGAAAAATAAAAATAACCTGAAGATTATTGAAGGTCTATGAAGTTTTTTTCTTTTTCTCAGTGATCACTGTGACAGGCATTTGAAAATGCCCTGATAGGGATCTTTGAGCTCCCTTTTCCTCCACCTTTCCTTCCTTGAATCCTCAATTGGTTGGTTTTCTTAATGAACAGAGAATAAACCATGACATATTTCTGCAAAACAATATACTGTGGGGGAAGAATGTTAGGCTGAGAATAAGAATGATGGCCCTCATACCCAATGATGGATAAATAAAATGATAATTTAAAAATCCATGTCACAGGATCACTATGAGTATTATGAGATAAAAATATTAAGCCTAACATATATGAGACATTAAATAAATGATAGTTTTCTTACTTTCTTAATTAAGTAGGCTTAGTTAGCAAATAGTCATTACAAAATGATTCTGTGTTTAACACAACAAACAAAAGAGCCACACAGGGCCAAAGATTATTCTTGAATCTTGAGCTTGATAGTACATGTGGAATGCTTAATTTAACAGACATAATAGTCACATAAAGACTCTTAGAACTGCAACAATGACTCAAAGATTCACAGTAACTTTGAAATAATCATAGAAAAACAAAATTAATTGTATAATTACACTATAAGCTCATTGGGCTTGGATAAGTTTTCTAAATTCACTTTTTGTCTCTATTTCTCAACTTTCTATTCACTTCTAACTCCCTTCTATTCTGACTTCTACCCACAAAGCACCACTGAAACATTAATTCCAAATTTGCTACTAACTCAGTCATGTCATTCAGTCGTGTCCAACTCTTTGTGATCCCATGGACTGTAGCCCGCCAGGTTACTCTGTCCATGGGATTTTCCAGGCAAGAATACTGGAGTGGGTTGCCATTTACTTCTCCAGGGATCTTCCCAACCCAGGGATCAAAACCCGGTCTCCCTCAATGCAGGCAGACTCTTTACATTTGAGCTACCAGGGAATCCCAACTACTAACCTCATAGTTCCTAAATTCAAGATATACTTTTTGTTACTGCAGTATGATCTCTGAGTGTTGACAGTGGTGATCTGTTGTAGGCCTGACTATGAACTCAATCATTTCCCATCAAGATTAATGTGGTTATGCCCCAGCCCCAATATGGGTTAACCCCAATTTGAGTATGAAGCCTTTGTGAAGTATTTAGATTCAGAAGAGGTCATGAGAGTGGAGCCCATATGATGGGATTAATATCCTTAAAAGAAGAGTCACTAGAGAACTTGTCCCTCTCGATCACTCCCTTTCCATTTCTCTCCTCTCTCTACAAAACCCTGAACCCTTCCTGCCTGATTACCCAGTACCATATGAGAACACAGCAGGAAGGCACCTGTCTGCAATTCAGAAATAGAGGGCTCACAAAACCCTAGCTTATTTGGAACTTGATCTCAGATTTCAACCTATAGAATTGTGAAAGGACAAATTTCTATTGTTTAAGTTATTCAGTCTATGGCATGTGTATTCAGTTCAGTTGAGTCACTCAGTTCTGTCCGACTCTTCGCGACCCCATGAACCGCAGCACTCCAGGCCTCCCTGTCCATCAGCAACTCACGGAGTCCACCCAAACCCATGTCCATTGAATCGGTAATGCCATCCAACCATCTCATCCTCTGTCGTCCCATTCTCCTCCTGCCCTCAATCTTTCCCAGCATCAGGGTCTTTTCCAATGAGTCAACTCTTCACATCAGGTGGCCAAAGTATTGGAGTTTCAGCTTCAGCATCAGTCCTTCCAATGAACACTCAGGACTGATCTCCTTTAGGATGGACTGGCTGGATCTCCTTGCAGTCCAAGGGACTCTCGAGAGTCTTCTCCAACACCATAGTTCAAAAGCAGTAGTTCTTTGGCACTCAGCTTTCTTTCTTTCTTTCTTTTTTTTTCCAGCTTTTTTTATAGTCCAACTATCACATCCATACACGACCACTGGAAAAACCTTAGCCTTGATTAGATGAACCTTTGTTGGCAAAGCAATGTCTCTGCTTTTTAATATGCATATAGGTTGGTCATAACTTTCCTTCCAAGGAGTAACCATCTTTTAATTTCATTGCTGCAATCACCATCTGCAGGGATCTTGGAGCTGATAAAAATAGAGTCAGTCACTGTTTCCACTATTTCACCATCTATTTCCATGACGTGATGGGACCAGAGGCCATGGTCTTAGTTTTCTGAATGTTGAGCCTTAAGCCAACTGTTTCACTCTCCTCTTTCACTTTCATCAAAAGGCTCTTTAGTTCTTCTTGACTTTCTGCCATAAGGGTGGTGTCATCTGCATAGCTGAGGTTATTAATATTTCTCCTGGCAATCTTGATTCCAGCTTGTGCTTCTTCCAGCCCAGCGTTTCACATGATGTACTCTGAATATAAGTTAAATAAGCAGGGTGACAATATACAGCCTTGACGTACTCCTTTTCCTGTTTGGAACCAGTCTGTTGTTCCATGTCCAGTTCTAACTGTTGCTTCCTAACCTGCATACAGGTTTCTCAAGAGGCAGGTCAGGTAGTCTGGTATTCCCATCTCTTTCAGAATTTTCCACAGGTTATTGTGATCCACACAGTCAAGGGCTTTAGCATAGTCAATAAAGCAGAAATAAATGTCTTTCTGGAACTTTTTTGCTTTTTTGATGATCCAGCGGATGATGGCAATTTGATCTCTGGTTCCTCTGCCTTTTCTAAAACCAGCTTGAACAACTGGAAGTTCACTGTTCATGTATTGCTGAAACCTGGCTTGGAGAATTTTGAGCATTACTTTATTAGCATGTGAGATGAGTGTAATTGGGTGGTAGTCTGAGCATTCTTTGGCATTGCCTTTCTTTGGCATTGGAATGAAAACTGACCTTTTCCTGTCCTGTGGCCACTGCTGAGTTTTCCAAATTTGCTGGCATATTGATTTGAGCACTTTCACAGCAATATCTTTCAGGATTTTAAATAGCTGAACTGGAATTCCATCACCTCCACTAGCTTTGTTCACAGTGATGCTTCCTAAGGCCCACTTGACTTCACATTCCAGGATGTCTGACTCTAGGTGAGTGATCACACCCTCATGATTATCTGGGTCATGAAGATCTTTTCTGTACAATTCTTCTGTGTATTCTTGCAACCTCTTAATATCTTCTGCTTCTGTTAGGTCCCTACCATTTCTGTCCTTTATTGAGCCCATCTTTGCATTAAATGTTCCCATGGTATCTCTAATTTTGTTAAACAGACCGGTAGTCTTTCCCATTCTATTGTTTTCCTCTATTTCTTTGCACTGATCACTGAGGAAGGCTTTCTTATCTCTCCTTGCTATTCTTTTGAACTCTGCATTCAGATGGGTATATCTTTCCTTTTCTCCTTTCCTTTTCACTTCCCTTATGTTCACAGCTATTTGTAAGGCCTCCGCAGACAGCCATTTTGCTTTTTTGCATTTTTTTTCTTGGTAATGGTCTTGATTCCTGTCTCCTCTACAGTGTCACCAATCTCCATCCATAGTTCATCGGGCACTCTGTCTATCAGATCCAGTCTCTTAAATATATTTCTCACTTCCATTGTATAGTCATAAGGGATTTGATTTAGGTCATACCTGAATGGTCTAGTGGTTTTCTCCACTGTCTTCAACTTCATTCTGAATTTGGCAATAAGGGGTTTATGATCCAAGCCACAGTCAGCTCCCAGTCTAGTTTTTCTTAACTGTATAGAGCTTCTCCATCTTTGGCTGCAAAGAATATAGTCAATCTGATTTCAGTGTTGACCATCTGGTGATGTCCATGTGTAGAGTCTTCTCTTGTGTTGTTGGAAGAGGGTGTTTGCTATGACTAGTGCCTTCTCTTGGCAGAACTCTATTAGCCTTTGCCCTGCTTCATTCCGTACTCCAAGGCCAAATTGGCCTGTTACTCCAGGTGTATCTTGACTTCCTACTTTTGCATTCCAGTCCCCTATAATGAATATGACATCTTTTTTGGGTTTTAGTTCTAGAAGGTCTTTTAGGTCTTCATAGAAGTGTTCAACTTCACTTTCTTCAGCATTACAGGTCGGGGCATAGGCTTGGATTACCGTGATATTGAATGGTTTGCCTTGGAAACGAACAGAGATCATTTTGTTGTTTTTGAGATTGCATCCAAGTACTGCATTTTGGACTTTTGTTGATTATGATGGCTACTCCATTTCTTCTAAGGGATTCAGTGTTATCATGAGGTAAATGTGTGTTGGATAGTTCATCTCTTGAGCGTTGGTTATATTTTCTTGGCGCTTAATATAGCAAATACTCTCAGATTGTAACCTGGACATTGTGAGTGTTAAATTGTAGAAATTCTGCATTTTGTTATATTATTCCAGGGTTTTAGCAGGTTATTAACTTGATTAAGTTCAGATGTCCACTGCAATAGGTGAATGCTGAGATCTCAACCCATGTCTTTGTCTTTATACAAGTATAATCAGCTGGGCCTATATACCATTGGTTCAATTCTTCGCCAGGCAATTGTGTTTTAAGAGATTTCCTTCTCTGACTTTCTCCTTTCCTTATTCTCCAGTCACACATTTTTTTCTGGGCTCCTCTCTGTCTCCTTTGTCCACAAGAAGGAAACATTTTGCAGCAGTTTTTAAGCTGCTTATGCCACTGCTCATTTTAAAAATTACCTCATTCCAAATTTCATTTCCACTCCAAAATTTGGCCCCATGTCTTCAAATGTAGAGTCTTTGAGTAGTTTTTTTTTCTAAAAATATTTCCATAATTTATAATTTATTTGTGGAAGAATCAGTATTCAGAATCTTACTCCTCCACACCAGAAATTCAAAGGTTTAAAATTAATAGCATAAGAATTTAGATTTTTCATTTTTGTCTCAAGAAGTTTTCTCTTACCTGGTATGGAAAAATCAAATTTACTCCTTAAAGCTTGAAATTTATAGACCTTCATTACATTGCACTTGTTTATCCTTACTGCAGTTCCACTGCTAGAAGATGAACTAGATTAAATATTTTAACTCAAATTTTCATTTTGAAATAACTGAGATTAACATATAAAAGTAAGAAATAATGCAAAAATTTGCATGTACTCTTTATCCAATTTCCACAAATGACATCTTTTAAAATTATAGTATAACATTGTAACCAGAAAGGGTCTTCCCAAGTGGTGCTAGTGGTAAAGAACACAGCTGACAACACAAGACCCATAAGAAACATGCGTTCAATCCCTAGGCTGGGAAGATTGCCTGGAGGAGGACATGGCAAGCCACTCCAGTTTTCTTCCCTGGAGAATCCCATGGACAGAGGAGTCTGGCTGGCTACACTCCATAGTGTTGTAGGAGATAGAGATGAGTGAAATGACTTAGCATGCATGCATTCATTGTAACCAGGAAATTGACAGTAACATAATCCTCCAATTTTCTTCACTTTCCCAGTTATCTATGTAGTTATTTTTGAGTGCATTTAGTCTTACGCAATTTTATCATATGTGTAAGTTCATATAGCCACCCCTACAGTCAAGATAGAGAACAGTGCTTTTGCCACAAAGATCCCTTTTGTTGTCATTTTATGACCCTGCCCTCTTCTCCCCTTGAACCTAGTAAGCACTAGTCTGTTCTCCGTTTCTATAGTTTTTCTCATTTCAAAAATGTTATTATACAGTATGTAATCATATGACATCTGAGAGTATGATGACTTTAGGAATTTGAATTTTTCATTCATCATAATTCTCTTCAGATTCATCTAAATTACTGTGTACACCAATAGTTTATTCTTGTTTGCTATTTTACTACATAGTATTCCATGCTGTGGATATACTATTGGTTGTTTAAACATTTATCTCTGGAAGTTGTTTAACCATACATCTCTGGAATGAAATGTGGGCTATTTCCATTTTTAGCTATTATAAATAAAGTTGTTATGAGAATTCGTGTTCAGGTTTTGGGTGAACATAAATTTTTATTTCCCTGGGGTAAATATTCAGGATTTAAATTTCAGGGTTATACAGTAATTACATGTTTTAGAAGAAACTGCCAATCTACTTTTTCCAAGTAGTTAAACCATTTTACATTCTCACTAGTGATATGTTTTCTTTTTCTTCATCTTCACCAGCATTAGATGGTATCTCTATTTTGACATTAGCAGTTTTGTAGTGATTGGCCATGGTAGTTTTAATTTTCATTTCCCTGATTTCTAATGTTGTTGAATACTTCTTCATGTGTTTATTTGTCATCTTTATATCCCATAGATAAAATGCTTGTTTGTTTCTTTTGCCCGTTTTCTCATTGAATTGCTCACTTAATGTTGTTTTGAGAGTTCTTTTTATATTCTAGATACAAGTTCTTCATCAGATATATGTTTTGCAAATATTCTTTCCCAGATTGTACTTCTTTATATATCTTTAGGAGAGTCTTTTGCAGAGCAAAACTTTTTAATTTTGATGAGATCTATCTTTTTTTTTTTTTTTTTTTAAAATTTATTTATTTATTTATTTATTTTTTTTATCACAACCATAGTGAGATCTATCTTTAGATCTATCTTCTATTTTAATTGATCTATCTTTTCCTTTTTTTTTTTTTGATCTATCTTTTCTATTCTGTCTAAAAGCTCTTTGTTTCACCTTAGATCCTAAGATTTTCTTGTTGCTAAGTGTTTATTTTTTTTGTTTTACATTTAATATTTAAATTAATGATTCACTTTGGATTAATTGTACAAGATTTTAGAATTAGGTCACACTTCTTCCCACTGCTGCCTCATGGATGTCCAAGTTCTCTAGAATCACTTATTGAAAAGAGTATCTTCCTCCAGAACATTGCTTTTGCACCTTTGTGAAAAATAAGTTGGATACATTTTGTGGGTCTGTTTTTCCATGTTCTGTTCCATTGATTTATGTGTTTATCTTTTTGCCTATATCACTTTTTCCAACACCACACTTTCTTGATAACTAGAGGTATATAGTAAGACGTAATCTTGGACAAAGTGATTCTTCCCATGTCATTCTTCTATTTAAAGAGTATTTTAACTATTTAGATCCTATGCATTTTCATCAAAATTTTAAAATAAAAATGTTATGTCTATAAAAAGTTAGTATTTGCATTAAAGTTGTAAGTCAAAATGAGGAAAATTATGTTGAGTCTTCTATTCCATGAATATAGTGTATTCTCTTGATATATATTTTTTCATTTATGTAATAAGCATTTTAACTATAGCATATAGATTCTCCACATGTTTTTAAAGTTTTTCTACAGCTGTTTGATTTCCTTTGTGGTGTTTGTAAATGGCATGAATCTTTAATTCAGTTAATTCAGTATTAATATGTTCATTGTTGGATACTTTTAAAAATTAAAGCGTTAGTTAAATATGTTGTTGCTGTTCAGTCACTAAGTCATGTCCAACTCTTGCAAGCCCATGGACTCTAACCCACCAAGGCCTGCTGTCCATGGGGTTTCCCAGGCAAGACTACTGGAGTGGGTTATGGTTTCCTTCTCCAGGAGATCTTCCTTACCCAGGTATTGAACCCATGTCTCCTGCACTGGGAGGTGGATTCTTTACCACTGACCCACCACGGAAAAGCAGTTAAATGTGCAGTAGAAGATACTTTTTAATACAATAGGAATAACTCCATGGTGCTGGGACTTCATATTTCTTCATATTTAATCAGTTTTATATAAGCCAAAACATTAAAAAAATTTTTAATGTTTTAAGTTATTAAATGATAGAATATATGCCTCAATGCAGAAGTGTTTAAATAATATTTTGAATCC